AGGATCCCCGACCTTAAAACCTCACTCATTCAAGCAGGCATCAAGTACAATGACCATGAACTAACAAAAACATTGCAGAAATACTTCATTGCAATAAAAGATAAAGCCTCAAGTGAGAGACTGAGAGAAGGTCTGGAGACAAAGACTACTACTGATGGTGATGATCGTAAAAAGAGGGCTTCTACTTCAGATTGGGACTCAACATATAATTCTAATTATAATTTGGTACAGTCAAGGTCTGGGAGACGTCGAGATGTTTCTAAATATCCCCTTCACAGAGGATATTTGTGGGCCACAGAGATTGGATATCCTGCAATACATGCTGACATAGCAGCAGGAGGGTTTGGAGGTGTTGGTTTTCCTGGTATCAAACTGTATGCACGAGCAAGGTTTGATCTTGTGGTCTGGAAAAAAACTTACACTGCACTTGACATAATGTTCTCATATGTGAGAGACTTCCCAGACCGTAACTCTGTGAGCACTTTGACATACAAGCGTTACATTAAGATAGTCGGTTTCACACTCTTAAATAAAATGAGCACAACTACAAGGACATACAAGTTCACTCACTCGTGGCAAAGGACAGTTCCTCTTTTCCGAGTAAACTATAACTTCTTTATTTTGGTAGGCTATCTGAAGATCAGTCTCACTAGCCAAATATCTGGACAAATGAATTTCAATGCATACATTGCACCTTTGAATATTAATGGTGTTAATATGAAGGCATCAGCTATGCTTGAGACAGGACCTACTCTAACTGTTAAAGGAGAGGCTACTACTACACCATGGGTGAGAGCCAAAAATAACAGTGAGAGAATAAAATTATATTTCCTCATCCTTATTTTGATAGCCTGGTTTATTCAGATTAGGTATGAAAGTGTCAGCCTCCATTACCTATCTCATAAACCCAAAAGCATCAACCTCACTTTGTGGCTCATCATCACAGGATGCTGATACATGCTTTGAAGTATATAGTACAACTAAAGGAAATATTGATGTGTATGCATACTGGCAGTTATGGAAAGTCTCTTGTAGTAAATGGTTTAAGTGCAAGGTGATATTAACAGTAATAATAATTATTGGCAAAATTATTTTCTTTTCTCTTTCTCTCTCTCTCTCTCTCATCTATTCACTCTTGTCACAAATATACAGAGTTTTTGGGGGAAAAAGAATAAATTTGATAAATTATCACGTACTAAGAGCCTAGCAAATGGAAGAGAGAAATTGTTTGGTCTGTGTTATGCTTGTAATTGCTACAGAAGGAATTTCCTCAATGTTCTTTGCAAGGGTAGCCAGTATGGAAGCTCAGAATGTACCTGTTCAATAAGAAGCTCAAAATGATATTCTTCAATCATCATTGAAAGCTGATGTGATCATTTTTAATGGACTCCTCTTTTTTGTAGTTGAGTTTAATTAAGCTTTTTATTAGTGTAGCATAGTTATAAGCATTTTCATTTTTTTGAGTGAACAGTGAATCACAAAGATATTCAAAGAATAATTTTGTTGGTCACCATGATGCACACACATCACACAGTGAGATTGCTTAGAAACTTGTAAACAGTATTTAAGAGTATCAAAAATAAATACGTGGTTGCTTTGTTAGAAGTGCTTTCAAAATAGCTTTTAAAGAAAAACCACTCACTTCAATAGAGTGAAACCACGGTGGCATCAAAAAAACTAATTATGAACACAGTACTTGAAAGCATGCAATTCCATTGAATTTATACTTAAAAATCATGAGTTATTTGAATCAATAGATCTAGTAGATGTATCAAAATTGCAATTAAAGTGCATTGCAGGAGTTTACTATGGAGCCTGGGAAAGCCTGCAGTGGGGAGGTTTGCTATGTGAACCCATGCAGAGAGTTTTTGTGCCTCTAATGAAGCAATCTGATTGGTTTTTGAATAAATAGTCTATAAATTATTTATTAGAAAAACAACTGTTACTGTTGCTATGTAAGTACATGATGTGTTGTAACATTCTCTAATTCTCTTACCTTGATAATAAAATTGAATAAAAAAAGCCAAAGCGGGATTAGCTGCTTTCATTGTTTTTGAACATTATCAACACTAGCATACCCTGAGCTAGCCTTAAATAAAAACACTGAAACTGAACTTAGCTATAAATTTTTAATTATATATTAACTTAAGAAAACTGGGAAGCAACAAACAGTAGACTAGCTAGGCTAGTATAAATATGAGTGTGAGACTGTGAGTGCATAAGTTGTGCCACAAGACCAGGCAGTTTGTTAGCATTAACATGAAAGGCTTTGTGTTACTAGCTCTTGCTCTCTCATTCTTCCTATCCTGTGGAGTTGCCTATGGAAAATATGTGAAAGTGTCTAATTGCAAAGTAAATACTAATCTGCTCAAACTGTATCGTTATAATTATGTATTCTTTTGGCACAGAATGAATCTGAGATTTGTTCATATGAATATCATGCTGGAGTGGAGTTAGCCAAAGGGGAAAAAGTATCAGTATCTGCAAAAGTGGATATCTCTTGTGAATCAGGTCAACAAGAGCTACGCTGTAGCATGCATCAACATTCACAAGAATTCATAAATTTTATAGTTGTTTAATTTTTTGCAGTTGGTGTGTTTAACAGTGAGCTATCAGCTCGTTTTTGTATGAAGGTCAGAAACAGTGTCGTCAAGAAAACCAGTGAAGACAACAATGAGTAAGATTGGCTGGGGAACAATAAACAAAATGCAAATCTAATAGTCTGATCTAATAAATACAATTTTTTCATTGTATATAGTGATCTGGTTCCAGTGGAAAAATTGGATAAATGGTTCTGCTTTGCTCAAAGCACATCAAGTGGTAAAGTATTGGGTGTGTTTTATGGTAAAGGAGAGGAGGAATGGGTGGTCAACTTTAAGAGAAGTATTGCTAGTGCTTTTCAAGCTAACTATAAGGGAACAGCAGTTACTAATGAAACTGATTCACAATCAAACCACACATCACATTACAAGTTAGCATGCATATGCATGTGTTTTATGTACTTGTATCCTAGAGTGTTTTCATCAGTGTAGACTTTCTAGGTTTCTAATGAAATGCAATATGTTATAACAAATGTCTGAGTAATATACTAGAGTGTTCTAAATATCTGTAGGATATTAATTCATACTTTTCTTCTTTCGCTTACTAATAGATTCTTCGTGAAGGAAAT